GCTAACTGGTTAGCAAGATGCTTCAGACAAACCGGCCACAACCAAACTTGCCAATCAATCACTGCCAGGCCAATTCAGTGACTTAGACAGATTTATTTTTTCCTTTTGTAAACACAAGAGTAGACAAAAATAAATTTCGTTTAGAACAGCTCTCTAGACAATTTCATTTTTGAAGTTGCAGCCTTTATAAGGTAAGCAGCAGTTGTTGTTGAGCTGCTACTACTGCCTCCAGCTCCTGAAGCACTTGCTTCTCCTGGCTCAGGGTAGGAAGAGGACGATGATGACGATGCTGTGACGGTGGTAGCCCCCTGGGTTGAAGAGGCTGACATGGTTAAAGCAGCACAATCCATTGCCCTACTAGCATAGGAGATATGGTAGATCTTTATTAGTTTCAACTTGGAAAAGCTCAGATATTGCTCTGGTGGCAGGTGTTTTTGTCCATAATATTTGTCCAAAAAATTTGCCAGTGTTGTTTTGGTAACATTTTACATTCCACCTTCTGCTGTTGCCAACACTGTGTGTGATGTCATTGTTGCTAAGTTGCAGACACAACAGCAATATGAATTGCAGCAATAAAAAATACAAATGTAAATGGTTCTTCAGTTGCAGGCAGCCGTGGAGGCAGAGTTCCAGGAGAAGTTCCAGCGTTTACCCGGTGAAATCCAAGACTTCCTGCAGGACAGGAAGCTGGAGGGCAGAGGTCACAGCAAGTCCCGCCCATCAACTCCTCACGAAACTCTTTCAGAGGAGGATTGAAAAGAAAAAGAAAAGAAAAGAAAGGAGGAGAGGGAGGAGTGATTCAGATAATGAAATTCTGAACAGAGGGCGAAACCTTGCTGATGAAGTAAATATTTATAAAGACTGTTATTAATTGTCTTTTTAATGAAACAAAAACAACTTTGAAAGATTTTTAAATTATTTAAAGCATGCATTGTGTTGTACTTCCAAATTTAATCAAATGTCATTCAGTTTTATGTTCAAACAACAATCTCACAACTTACTGCATGATCAATCTATCTATCTCTCTATCTATCTATCTATCTCTATATCATCTATCTATCTATCTCTATCTATCTATCTCTATCTATATCATCAATCTATCTATATCTATTTATCTACATCATCTATCTATCTATATCTATCTATCTATCTATCTCTATCTATCTATCTGAACTGCTACTATTGAACTGCTACTTTCATTAAATGTTATTATTTAAACAGTATTTTTATGGAGTAAATTTTTTTCCATTACTGTTACAAGCAAAGAACATGTTTTGTTAATGGTAATTGAAAAAAAAAACTGAGATTGAATCTGTTTTTATGTTTGATATATTTTTCTTTTTTTATTTCTTTTTTTCAGTCTTATAATTGCATTCTTTTGTTTAACAGATCACATTTCTAACTTTTCTTTACTTGTTGCAGCTAATGTCCAGCAGACCGATAGAAAAGCGCCTTCACTCCTCACTTGAGAGGAAAGCCCACCTCTAGAAGTGAAGGGCACTGTAAAACATATCTTCTTAAAAAATGCAAATTTGAGAAAATAAAAAATTGAAAATAAAAAATACAAAAAAATTAGAAAAGATCATTTGAAAAAAAAATGTAAACACAAAATTACGAGGGGAAAAAAATACTTGAAAAATAGAATCACCAACTTTATTCTGAAAAGCTTTTTTTATTAGAAAAGTTAATCAAAGTTTCATTACTGGATGACAATTTTATTTTATTTATTTTTGCTAAATTTCCATTTAAAACACATGTTCATTGCTTAAAACAGTAATGTAGCAGAAGCCATTGTGTTCATATTTGTATTTGTAACCCACACCTACACAGCCTGATCAGTCAGCTTCACTGCAGTGCTAAAGGGTTTGAAACAGAGGAAGCAAGTCATAGCATATTGTATGTCATAATTAGGAAATATAAAGAAATTATTTTGAGATATTAGTTATATTATTGAAAGTCATAAAGTTTTAATTTCAAAGTCAAAGTTACTTCAACCATGTACGCAATGGACCGTAAAGGTGTATTTTAACTTAATGAATAAATGGAAAGGCATCAGCAATGTCCTTCCAGAAGCAATTGCTGCAGCGCATTAATCCATGAAAGCTTCTTAGGCTGTTTGCAAACATAGTAAAGTCTGCCACTCTATGGTGTATATACAAAAGAGGATTTAAAAAAAAAAATTTTTTTTAGTCCTTCCCGGCAGATTTAACATAAACTCGGATTATGCAACGTTTGGGGAAATTGCAAAAAAAAAAAATAAATATAAAAAATGTATAACTAACATCTGTATTACAGAACAGATGTAACAAGAGAGTTAAAATTAAAAAATCTTCCATTTAAAGGAGAAGTCTGGTCAGCGATGAATAATCAATGGATCTTTATTTATACCTAAAACTAATATGTTCCGAGTGCTGCTTGCAGTGCGTAGCATCAGAGATTGAACGAACAGATACTGCAGAATGGAATAATTGAGATAGAATGAAACAGATAATGAAAAGGGGTCCCCATGTCCTCCAGCAGTCTAAGTTTATATAATCCAACATCATCCCAATATATAACTGAAGTTAAATCCGTTGAAAGAAAAAAAATTGTTTAATTACAATTAAAATTACAGTCTCGCCGTCTGCTTGACCAATTTGACCCTTGCTAAAGGTGAAAGTTTTTTTTAAAGAGGCATTGCCAGGTTATTTACACACCTGGATATTATGAGATGTCACCGATCATTGAGTTAGAGCAGAAATGATATTAATAAAAAATATTCTCTTGTGAAATCCTTCACCCCCCTTGAACTTTTTGACATATTGCCACATTTCATGCTTCAAACATTAAGATATAAACTAATGCTTTGTGAAGAATAAACAAGGAGGACACAATCATGAAGTGGAACAAAATTATGTTAAATTTCAATGTTTTTTAACAAATAAAAAGCTAAAGTGTGGGGCGGTAAAATGAATGTGCTCCTTTATTTTTAGTGCAGCAATCTCCTCCAGAGGTTCAGTGAGGATCTCTGAATGATCCAATGTTGTCCACCTCTGTATAATCCATATAAATGCTCCTGCACTGTGATCGACTCAGAGCTCTGTTTAAAG